TGCCTTTCTGCACCTTTGCATACAACGTTGCATTTCATACATAATAAGGCTTTCGGCTCAAAATGAATGGATCACCCCTAAGACTTTGTTCTTAAAGACTAGCAAGTTGTATGAAAGCAAAGTAAAGAATGAATACAACAATCCCGAAGGGAGAACACGGTCACCATGGTTACAAGCATTGGCGGTTCTAGGGGCGGGGCCACAGGGGCACTGGCCCCTGCTGAAATATGATTGGCCCCTGTAGTGCCCCTGTCCTGTCACTCATCTGTCCTTTGTGCGGTGATGAGATTATAGGTGGATGCAATTCCAAGTCCAAACACTAGTGGCCGTGTGGCGCTAAGGAGCAAAATAGTGTGTGAAATCCAACAGAAGAAGATTTGAAAGATTCCAAGAAGGGAGAACTTTTCAACCGACATCGGATCTGATGAGAGTCCACGTTATGAGGAGTTTGTTGGTAAGTCACGAATCACTGTTTACTCACAGTTGCCATGTAAGTCAAGTCTGACAATAAGTCCAATGGAAAGCAATGCCGACATTAGTTAAAGGTAATGTTAAAAAGGGCTTGTGAAAAAACGTTAGCCCTTGCTAATCCATGTACTTCTTTTGTAATCTGCATTTCGTGTGTTAATAGTTGGCACTGTCTGATAGAGAACATGAAAAGAAAGGGTCAGATACAGGCGGGAATTCTGCAGTTTTTTCCCAAGAGAGTGAGTGTGTCAGCTGGTGAGAACGAGCATGGAGAAATCAGAGAGCAGCAGGAGGCAGTAGACCAGAGGCTGGAACAGGGCAAGGGACCTCCATTCCCCCTTTATCAGGTCAGAAAGAATATAATCTTTATTGTGCAACAGTCATGTCAGATAAACACGAGAGACAGCCTCTTGTAGGACATACCATGCTGGGAAATCAGCGTACGTGTAATATAAACGCGCCGTGGCGGCATGGTGTTGCGGGAATTTTGTGGCATTCGTGCTGCCACGGTTGATACTAATATCACCGCAACGCCGGACTTGTGAATGCATATTACAACTTGGCGCAACAGAAGGGGGTATCATGATCACGTGGGCAGTTACTGCCGAGCTCCGGCCGGCAACTATATTGAAAATGAAAGTAAACATGGGCCGTAAGTTTGGCTTTTCTAAACAGAATCAGCTGAGATGATGGCCGGGGAGCCTCTCCGTAAGAGTTGAAGCTCAGATCACCAGAGACTGCACGGGGACAGACATCTTCTGGAGCGGCTTGTTAAAAAAGCTTAATGAGTGTGGCTTTGATCGCAATAAAAAGCAAGTTATGTCCAAGATAAACTGAAGTCCGTGGCAGCGCAGAGACCGCCCCCAAGCTCCCTTTTCACCGCCATCGCATAATCTTTTGTAAAAAGATCATGATTGCACCACATTATCCAGCAGGACGGACTGACCACTTATAAACGACCTAATGCTGCCCAGTGTGTTCTGCTTATAATTGAGGATAACCTTTTCCCATTTTATCTTGGAGCTGATCAAGTTAATGTGGAGTCATTTTCTTGCACAGAAAATTTGCATTGAGCTTTTTATATTTATCAGTAATAATTGGGTCAGTTATTCCAAGCACCAAAAATAAAGGATTATTGTTTAATTTGATAGAAGTTGTTAATCGTGACAAATCATTAGTGGCAAAGTTGCTTCCCTTTAGTAAATGATTTTACGTTTCTCAAAGCATCTTTCCATTCATCATCAGTAATGTTGCAGTTAAGTTTCCTTTCCCACAATTCCTTCAAGGTTTCCCTAAATTGTGACATTTTGATGTATTGTAAAATGTGTGGGAAAAGTCCTTGTTTGAAACACTGAATTTTCTAATTGGTTGATTAAGTAAGGTCAAGGTTAAGTTTTCCAAAGAGATTTTGTGTTTTGGATATTCCTTTGTTAGTCCAACTTTTCCTGCCATTATTCTAGGTAAAAATAAAAAAAATCACCATTATCTCAAATTTGTTAAATGATGTTATCTTGTACTAATGGCACATATGTTTACTGAATTCTTCCGCTTCATGGTGATGTGATTTACTATAACATTAACATAATGGATTTAAATTGTATTGGTTTCTTTGTCTACATCTACCACATCTCATCTTTATAGTCCAATCTTTCAAGTCTTCAATTTCAAATAAATAAAAATGTGGTCTCATAGAAAACAAAGTTTTGGCTGGATTTAGCTGGAGTTTGACATATATTTGTATTTTAGCTGCAAACTGGGACAAGACTCTCTCCAATTCAGACAACCAGAGTGAAGTTAATGACTCAACCTTCCATCCTGCTGGGCCACCAGAGTCACCAATCAATACTAATCCTGCAGGATCAAATGGTAAACATTGATCTTTGAAAGTAATAAATGCTTGTGTATGTATTTGGCTTATGTTAGATAATTTCTCATTTGCTGTTTTCAGACATCTTCCAGTGTGATGCACAGAATCCTGCGCAGACATCAGAACGGTGTTCTGTTCCAGTAGGACCTGGTGGTGTGCTTCTCATTTTGTAAAGGCTCTTTAAATTTAATTGAATTTTGCAGTCAGTCACTTGCAGATTCTGAATGCCATGAATGTTAAAGGTTGAGAGATATAAGCAACTGACTCAGACTTATTTAATTGACTTCCCACCAGACATTTCCCAGTCAAGAGCAGAGGGTCCTGTGATATTCTTCTGGTGTTTTTTCCACACACAAACATATTTTAACCTGATATTTGTGGCTTTGCAAAATAAATTGAATGCTAAAATTTCTCAAATGCTGTGTGTGGTTGTATTTTGTCAATGTACAGTAAAAATTGATGTACAATTGCATTGATGTTTTTCAACATGGTGTTGGGGTAAACTGTATCTACCATACAAAACTGGGAATAGTATGCAAGTATGTTGGACTGTTCGTGGCCCCTCTATAAATATTGTGGCCCCTTGATGGCCCCACCCTCAGAAAAATCCTAGATCCGCCACTGGTTACAAGAAAAGATGAATGTTACAGAAAACTGGAAGTGTAACTGAAGCAGAACCTGCTGCTGTTTGGAGTGGGACAGAAATATCACAAAATGGTAATTCTTGACTTAAATTGTCCCATCATGGGCAAATCATTTCACTGAGCAAACCAAACAAGTTTTTTATTTTTGAAACTTTCTCCAATATTCTCCTAAGCTGCAGCCGTTACACACCTGCTGAGACTCTATTAAAACCTGGATGGCTGGGAACTTACAGCTGAATGAAGATAAGACTGAGATCCTCATCTGTGCCCCAGACAAGCTGGTTCCCAAAGTCAGAGACTCTTGGTCAGCTTGCTTCTCACACCAAACCTTCTGCCAAGAATCTTAATGTGACCTTTGACCCAGCTCTCAACCTGGATTCTGCGCTGGTTATTCATTTTCTTTTTCCTTTTTCTCACAATTGTCATTTCCCCCATTTTTATTTTTTTAAATCATTTTTAATCTTTTCAAATGTTTTATTTATTTGTTCTTGTGAAGCGCCCCGTGATTTTCACCTTGAGAGGCGCTATGTAAAAGATTGTTTTTCTTCTTCTACTTCAACCTTAAATTTACCCTTCACCCTTCCTGTTTTAAAATGGTAGCTATGCATTTTAGTGCTGGCTTTACCTGAACTAGCTGTTAGCTCATCAACCATGTATGGCATAAACAGAGGCAGTTCAGGTAGCCATCTGCAGCAGGTAAGATAGATCTTACTTGTACCTTTTACACAAAAACACTTATCAAAATGACTGATGGAGTACTTCAGTATGGTAGACAAAGAGAGGTGTGTTTCATTTTGTTGACCTCATTTTCCCAATTGCTCATGTAAAACGGGTTTGAACAAATCCATATGACACACACACACACACACACACACACACACACACACACACACACACACTGCCTGACCATTGACAACATCCAGACGGCACAGGGAGTCTACAGAATGGATTTATTAGTCTTCCTGTGCTTTTACACTGGATGTGACTCTTGATGATATGTGTGTGTGTGTCTACAAAGTGCAGGCTAAATGTAGTGAGAGGTGATGTGTGTGTATGTTTAATGCATATGCGTGCTCACACACTGGGAGAGGAAGAGCGTAGGAGTTGACTCTGTGCTAGGTGGTGCATGGTTTTTGTTCTGCATCATCCAAAACTTTCCATACATGTTTTTTTCCTTTTAATATTTATCAGAGCCCACTCGTGCCCTTAGGTCTGCAAATCAGCCCCTCCTCACCGTCCCTAAGGCCCGTTTGAGGACTTGCGAGGAAAGGTCTTTTTCTATCCGTGCTCCAAAACTGTGGAACTCAAACCCTCGCTTGCCGTCTTTAAATTTCAGCTGAAGACGCATTGCTTCTCCTTGGCCTTCGATTTTTAAAGCAGTTCAATTTGGTTCTTTGATTTGAAATCTGTGGTTTGGCTACTTTTAAATCCATGGTCTGTTTTTATGGTTACATCTTGCTTGGTTGACCATTCTTTGTTGTACTATTTTTAGATAATTTTTATGATGTGACAATTTAATGCCTTGTGTTTGACATTATCGTGTGCAACGCTTTGGTTGGCTGTAATGCCATGTTAAAAGCACTTTACAAATAAAAGTGGTACGGTGTGGTAGCCTATTTTTTTCAGTTTGCTTTAAATCAGTGGTCTCCAGCCCTGGTCCTAGAGGGCCTTATTCAGCATATTTTTGAAGTTTCTCAGCTTCATCCCAGTGGGTGATTAACAGGGTTCTGCAGAGCTGCATGCCCTGCTGAACAGGTAACTCCACCATTGAATAGAAGTATAAATGAATATCTTGTGAGTCATTCTCTGTGAAAAAAAGCTGTGGTGCTCATGTTTCAGGAAGTTCGCTGAAGGAGAGGGGCAGAAAACAGCAGGATTTTGAGTCTTTCTCGTATCGTCTTTGATTAGCTAACAGCTACTCTACCCCTGACTCCGTTTGCTCTAAAACATGAATGTTTTATCTCCAAAAACAACACAATATACCAACAGACACAGAGCATCACCTTGTAAAAACACTGCAGAGGTATAATTTTATTTATTTATTTTCTTGCTAATTCATAAAAAAAATTAAACTTTTTTCCCGAACTGAATTCAGTCCACTTCCATGTGTGCAAAATGTTCATACCTGCCAAAGATAAGCTCCCCATGAACTCCATTTTTTTTGGTAAACCTTTGAAACCAGCATGACTTTTTGTTGCTTTTGAAGAAAGCCACAGCAGCTGAAAGTGTTTATTTGTGACTTACATGGTAACAAAATCAATCAAAGTTAAAGTAAGTTGGTATCTGAACATTTCTGCAAATGGATTTCAGTAAAAGGGTCCACCATACTAGTTTCAACATAGCCCTTTAAAGTACTGTGTGGGGGAAAAAAACTAGTCAGTGATCAAACAACACTTCATCCAACGCTTATTGTAAATGTCTGTGATGATGATTGTACAACTTGTCTATTTTTTCTTTCTGGCTCCTTAAAATAGAAACACAATGCAGTATCACAGGTTAAGCGAGAAAGGCAACGTGTATTTATTGCTTACGTGAAAAAAGAGAGAAAGAATCAAGAGGAGGTTGGAGAAAGTGACTGGTCATGCTACATGCCACCCTCAGTAGATCTTCTTCTGCTGGCCCCATTCTTATGGACCTTTCTCCCTCTTCTTCCTCTTTGTTTTCACTAATCCTTTCTTCGCAGATTTATTGGAAAAGTTCTTACCACAGTGTCTTTCTACAGCGTCCAATCATAAGTGGCAATCCTTATTTGCATAAAATCCACAATACTAGTGTTGCAAGAAGGTGGTCTGGAGATAGACCAAGTGGTTTTCAGTCCAGTCAATGTAAAATACATGAAATAGATTTTAAAATAGAAAAACAATTACCACAGGCCGTAGTCATCTAACTCCCACTGTAATGCCTACGTATGTACAGCACTCTCATGGCACACATAGAAAAGGTACACTCAATAAAAATATTTGCTTTGGTTTGAACGTTTGATCTTCTTCCGCTACCATTCAATAGTCTTCACATCTTTGATGCAGAAGATCGATGAGTACATTCTTTGGTTCAGAAATCCAAGAGGGATTGCTTCCGACTAAAAGAGAAGAACCTTTTAGATTGACGTGTGACTTTGGGATGTTCGAATTTGTTTTAATCATGCTCATCTGACAGAAGTTCTTCAATGACTTCTTCTTAGAAAATTCCCTCAGGAAAGAACTATTTTCAGTCCTCACATTCATGATTGCATGTTTCTTGGCATAATCTTGCTTTTGTCCACTTGTTTTTCTTTTTACGGAGAGCAGGATGGACAAGTCCATTATTTACTTTCCCTCTCCTTAAGCGGTGTTCATTTCCCCCCTCCCTCAACCTCTTCCATTCTTCAGTGTTTCTGTCCAGGTACACAAAAAAGGATCTAGGATCCAGACGAACATTTTTCGTAATTGATGGATAATCAAACGACGCCCATCACAGTGTCTCCATACAGTCGTTTTCTTTTTCTTGCGTTGTTCTGCTGACTCCCATTGTGTCCGTTTAGAGGTCCAGACGAAAAGCACCAAAGTAACTGGAGGAATCTTCTGCATTGACCATAGTTGGCGAAGAAACCGAGACAAAGAGCTCGTCTCCGGCTCTCAATTCGAACAGTCCTCCCTGGTAAACAGAGTGCAGGGCATATTCGGCATCTGGAGCCCAGCACTTGGTTCCCACGCCCTTCAAAAGCTGAAAAGAAAATCAGGGAAATAATTTAAAATGAAGGTGAGTGAGACACAGAGATTGATTTACGGTTAAAGTGATATTCTACCTGAATAGGACTTGGGTAGGACGTCTTCTTGTAGACACACTGCACCAGCTGGTGGCTGACACTGCGCTGGTCCCCATCACTGGCTGCTGGGGACGGATACCGAAAGTAAACCTGGAAGTACACGGGAACATAGGATGAACATAGTGGATGGATGTTTTAATCAAATATCACATGTACTAACTTTTAATTTCCTTTATCGTTTTTATTTGTTTACTGATTTGTTTTTAAATGAGTCAAAATGAATTGCTCAAATCAAAGAGTGTGCTTTAATATTTAGGAAAGTGCGCCTCATACAGTTGATGTTGATCTGTTGATCTGGAATGGAGGCGCCCAAATGTCAGTCACGACGTTGGTACCAATCAAGTGCAAGACACCATTGCATCCCCCGTTGACCTTTTAGTAGATGCACCACCAAGGCAGCAATCCTACACTTCTTTGCTAGCTGAGAGAGACTCCGACAAACCCTGCTATTAGACCCCCCCCCCTTGTGTCCAAGCCCAATTTAGCCTTAACTTAAATTGAACTTAATATGTTAGCCCAAGGCTGCGCAGTGGTTAGAGCTGTTGCCTTGCAGCAAGAAGGTCCTGGGCTCGCTTTCCAGCCTGGGATCTTTCTGCATGGAGTTTGCATGTTCTCCCTGTGCATGTGTGGGTTTTCTCCGGGTACTCCGGCTTCCTCCCACAGTCCAAAAAAACCATGACTGTTAGGTTAATTGGTCTGTCTAAATTGTCCTTAGGTGTGTGTGTGTGTGATTGTTTGTCCTGTGTGTCCCTGTGTTGCCCTGCGATGGACTGGCAACCTGTCCAGGGTGTACCCCGCCTGATTGCCCATTGACCGCTGGAGATAGCAGCCCCCCCCCCCCCCCCCCCCCCCCGCGACCCTACGTGGACAAGTGGGTTCAGAAGATGGATGGACGTTGGCCCAAACTAATCTATTCTGTTGAGCTTGCTCAGTTCCCTCCCCAATATATGAATTAGCTAGTCATCATCTTCATAATGCATTCTGCCCTTCCCCACAATGTAATGTTGGTAACATCTGCCGCCCTTTACCTGTGAGTACAGGTAGTACCGCCCATCCTGAGGAACTCGCAGCTTCCCGTTGCTCAGGGTCATGTTGTGCAGGTGAGCTCCAAAGCTCTGATTGGCCCATGTGCGGACAACATGGCGACAGGACTGGTGGAGACCTAGTGTTGGAATATGATATGGAGGGAACCCTGGAAAGAGAAGAGTGGATGGAGTCAAATAAGTTTGCTGCAGGTTGAATAAAAAAGTAAATAAAAACAATGCACAATTTTGTGTTATAAATATTTCTGCTGAACCTGAACACATTTTATTATTCCCTGAAGCAGAGCTGCAACAAACGGTTATGTGGGTCATCGATGAATCAGATTAAACGGGGAAATTCAAAAATTGCCAGGGAAACATTTTTTTCTCCTTCCTTTGCTTTGATAACAGAACATGATTGTGCTCCGTTTGTTAACAGAGTTGCTAACTGTTAAAATAAAGTTAATTAAATAAAAATAAGAAACATCCAGGATCTGTTTCTTCGCTTTCTTTATTGAAGTATCAGATCGATACTCTTTATCAGCGGATTCTCAAAATCAAATGATTTGGACTCAAGTGCAAAAAAACCTGATCAGGAAAAAAGTCTCATTTTTCTAATGGGACTTTTCTTCCGCTTGTAGAGTTTAGATATTCTTACTTTCACAACCATCGTGTTTTTTCAGAGCCCACTTGACCGTGAGCCTGCTATCTGCTAGCATTAGCTAATCTGCTTGTAGTTACACTTTTGACACCAAATTTTGGACTGTTTCTGCCTCTGTGTCTTTGCTGGTTTCTCTGCTTTCCCCCACAGCACCCAGATTAGCACAATGTGTGCCAGTAAAAGACATCTTACTTACAGAATAATTATACGTGCGACATGTATGTGTGTCTGGTTCTGATCTGCCTCAGTATGCTCTGCTGCCGCATCAGATGAGCTGCGCACATGGACTGTTACATAAAGGTTGCACAACCCGAAAAAAGTTGCACAACACAAAGAATCGATGACGAAAAGCGTTGCCAATGCATTTCTTCATCGAATTTTATCGAATTTATCGATTCGTTGTTGCAGCCCTACCCTGAAGTTTGGTTTACGCTGGAAAAGGTGTGTTGATGGTACATGAAGTAATCCATTTGGAAAGGGCAGGACTCATTTTTAGGTTTTTAATGTAGCTAGTTTTCAGAATGAGCCACTAAACACAGTTTTTCAAAGTAATCGTGCAAATAGTTTAAATACCACTATTGGGGTCTGGTTGGATACATTAGAAAATGAGCCAGTTTCAGCTGAAACACATTCATTATGTACGAACAATTTGCGACAAGTTCTATTTACGATCCCAGTCACGTTGGGCATCTGAAATAATTGCAAAGAAACTGACAGTTGTGCAAATGCCGTTAAGTCACAAAATGCCTTACGTCTCAAATAGTTTGCAATTTGCCATCATTTTATTCACAGTTTAGTTGCCAACCCCTCCCCAATTTGTCTCACATTCATCACTTTCTTTTGAGAGGAAATTTGTCTTGCATACCTGATACCACCAAGCAAGACCCATGTAAACAAAGGGAGAACCCTGGCAAACATTTAGAAACTCCTCCATTGATGCCTTTTGGAATCTTTAGTCGACCTCTACAGCCCAGTGATTCACCAATTTTATTACCAGCTGTCTAATTTCTCCTGATTATTTCTGCAGCGGTATGCCTTGCTGCAATCTATGTAGAGCAGCGGTGCCCACGAGGGCATGTTTTGGTTGGACACCTGATTGATGGTTGAATGACCTGTTCCGCAGGTCATCAACTTAAGCCTGTTCATTTCTCACTGCTTAAAACCAGGTGCACTGAAGCAGATATAAATCTAAAATCTAATGGCTCATAGGACAATGACTGGAGACCACTGGTATACAAGAAGTTGGGACCTGACAACCAACAACAGAAGAAGCCACATCATGTAAAGAGTTTAGAAACTCCTCGTGGTTTTACAAAAATAATCGATGACCCTTAAAGTGTAGGGCTTTCTTGCATCAGGCCTGTTTCTTGGTATGTGTGTGAGGGTGTGTGCGTTAGTACTGCAACAAGCTCTTGTTTCCTACATATTTGTTAGATAAGAGTTTATATGAAGTAATCTGAGGCCATCTGACAGTGCTTCTCCCTGCTGCACTTCCTTATGAGAAATCCAGGCTTACACCCCCACACCCTCACACACACTTACAAGTTTCTTGCCCTCTGTCATCTCAGTGGAAATAACATCCCTAAGCTTTTGCCAGAAAGTCAACACCCTTTGGCTTGCACGCCAGTTTCAGATGAAGCACCGAAGTCTGGATAACTCTCACGAAAACCAGCTCAAAATGTGTTGTTTAACAACGCACTGACACGTTGTTCTCTTATTTATGTTATCCGCTCCTAATTACGATCTCTTATTCTGCCATCTGTGTTTACTTTTTCAGTTTTTGGATGCATATGCAGCTTTCCTTTACAGGAAGAGCTTCTTAACGGAGCAGTTAGGAAGGGATCGGTACGATCTTAGATAAAAATCTAATCGAGTTAATCCAAAAATGACACGTTTTCTCTTTGTGAATGGGATGAACGAAGGATTTTCCAAATCTCCTGACATCACCGCTGGTCGTTTGAAGCTTCCAACAGTTCTTGATTTTAAGTCCCGCCAAACACAAAGCAGAGCTGTTGTCATTAGGTCGGCTCTACCAGACTGTGACTATGCAATAACCGACCAGCCTAGCTATCATAGCACCCCATTCCTCGCAAACTCATACCAGATGTTGGACAACACTTCATCAGAGCTTGTGTCGTGCGTGTTTGATGGGTAAATTAAAGCAGCGGTTGTTTACGTGTTTACAAATTAACAGAAAGATTGTGGGACATGTTCACAGATCCATTAGATCTTAATATTGTGGTATCAAAGCGAAACACTGATGGATGAAAAGAAGCAATTTTAAAGAATCTTTAATGGGACCCTCATGAGTTAGCACAGACAGATGGTCCTACTATTGACAATAAAGTGTTTTCCTCTCCATTCATTTGTTTTGCATCATTAGAATCCAAGGCAGTAATGACTTTTGATAGTATTTTCCTGCTTAGCTGTCCTGCTCTTCTTGCAAAGTGAATCAACATGCTGTAGGTTCGTCACATCAGATGTTGTTTCCATTTAAATGGACACATGCTGGCAAAGAACATGTTCTGCTCTACATCTTTGCTTTAATTGGTCCCATTTATGGTCCTAAAGAAACATTCCTTTTAATTAACAAACTTCTCAGATAAACAGTCTCTGATTGAGTGGTCTCACCTTGAGAGCTGGTGTCTCTAAGGGTCAGGTGGGCTGATGGCCTTTGGGCCACAGAGCCCACGAACTTGGAGTTGTTGTAAGTGCGAGGCATTGTTCTTGCCTCTGAAACAGAGCGAGGGGGAAAAAAACATCAGAAAATGTCCAAACTAAATGAAATAAAAAAAAATTGTATGTGCAGGAAAAAGCTGCTCACCGATGAATGTTTGTTTGGAGATGAAGTTCTCCGTCACCTGAAAGACACCAAAATGGGACAAACATGAAACAGACACATAAACTTTTGCTCCCTAAAACATGAAAATAAGAGCTAAATGCCAAATACATGATTGAAAAAAGCACAGAGGACAAAAAATAGCTTCGTCCTTTTAGAGTCTTTTTCAATCAGTGTTGATTTTGATGCTAATGCTAGTTAATGTCAGCTAAAACAGACCTGAGAGTTATTAACCACTTGGAAAGAAACAGATGTATGTGATTATGTGTTTTGTGAAGGTAACTACTTTGACAGTAGACATTTTCACAGGTTTTAAATATCAGTTCTGAATGTTAATATAAACTTTTAAGTAGTTTCAGTCTATGAATATGTTCTTACATCCCTTTATCCCACCATTTCTATTGTATTGTACTTACTTCATGGTGCCCTATTATACTATAACAAATCTTAATGTTTCATAATTTATCAAGAATCATATCACATCATATTTTTATGTATCGAGTATTATTTTGTAATATATCATACTGCATCAAATTGCATCACATTATATTATAATATATTGTGTCATATCATTAGTATAGGCAGCAGATAGAGTGAGTTTAGAAGTTGCGCATACTGGATTTATATTTCCACACTTTTTGCAGCTGTCATTGCTCCTCCCTCTCTGTTGTGTGCTAACCTTACTACCAGTTTAAATCACACACAGACTGCATCATATTTGAACACACTTTGACTACTCACACTGTCCTGTTTCTGATTCATTTCTCTTGTTGCTCCATCGTTTGATCAGGAAACAATGACACAGAAAGGTATTTGTTTATTTATATGAACATACATACATCACAGTGGTTGCACACTCAGTAATTCAAGCCACAATTTTCTCTTCCAGTTCCTTTTTAAGTTTTTTTATGTGTAGACAAAACCCATTTGCACTCGTGCTGAGTCTCCGGTGCCCTGTATCGAGGCCCTTATCCTGCTGGGGTTCTAATTCTCTCTAATGAATTTGCTCTGAAACCACAAAAACTTCAACATGTTTCATTGCATCTCAGGTTTTGAACTCGTGGTGTGTTTTTCTTGGTGGTGGGTCAGTTTCTCCTGCACTGAACACACAACTCAACCTGCTAATTGAACATGATCACCAAGGAAAGGCTTGGTAAACCCCCAGCTTGAGTACATTTATATACTCTAAGCAACAGGCTTTAACAGAGAATGTAGTGTTGGTTTGGCTCGTCTCACTACACATACAGTGCTGTAAAAAAGTATTTTCCCCTTACAGATATTTTTCCACACTTACGAGTTTCAGATCAGCAGACACATTTCAATATTAGACAGAAATAACCCGAGTAAACATCAATGCAGTTTTAAAATAATAGTTTTAATCATTAAGGGTGAAAAATGATCCGAACTATCCCGGGCCTATGCGGAAAAATCTTTGACTCCGAAACCTAATAACTGGTTGTAACACCTTTGGAAGCAACAACTGTAATGAAGTGTTGGTGGTTATAACTGATGATGCAGTGTTTTCCTAGCCTAGCAATCTAGACAAACTGTAGCTGTAAAAAGCTCTGCTGGTCAGCCTAGCCATCGTAGCCTCGGCAGGTCTACCACTGGCCCAAAAACTTTATGTCTCGCAAAACACAACGTTCTGTTTGTTGGGCAGTCTGTGCACTAGAGCAGCAATGAAGAAAAACTACAAAAATGGCGTTGGCTCAGGAATGGTGCTCGTTTGAATCAGCTTTGGCACCAACCTTTTTTACTATCTAGACTTGGGCTTTTATTTGAGACATGAGCAGATGCAGTTACTTAAGTCATTTATCTTGAAAATGAATGCATTTGCTTTGTCTTCGACAGTTTGAAACACAACCGTAGATTTTGCCTCACGACTGGGCTGATTTAATGAGTTGTGACCAGACTATACATTTACATATATAAGATGGCTTGCCAGGCTCCTTCAGGATTATCTCAGGTGGTCCAGGTCAAGAAGAAGCAAAGCAGACCCAGACCATCACACTACCACCACCATGTTTGACTGTTGGTGTGATGATGCTTGTCTGAAACGCGCATTGGTTTCAGTACGGATACAACAGGTCACTTTCTTTTTGTTGAATCGTGACCTCTGACCTTAGAGAAGCCTGTAGTGCCTTAGATGTTGTGGGCTCTTTTGTCCTTGAAGAGCCAGATTAGAGATTTTTTAGCCGACTTTATTTTGTCAGACAAGCTCTCCTGTAGTGACTTCTTAATTCTACAGGTTAGGTAGTGAGCAGACCCGAACATTCCAAATAATGTGATAAATCATGAATGAACTGTGAACAAACATCCTCTGAAAACACGGATAAAACATGACTGCCGTGTTTAAAGATAAAAATAACCTCACGTAGGACGATTTCAGACACCAAAGCAGTGGAAGCATGTAAACTCAACAAGTGGTAAAAGTCTTCCTGGAGGTGAGCTCCAGTGTCAGTTTTCCCTTTTGACTGTTTGCATCTGGTTTGGCTTTCAGGAATACTCCGATAATAAGAGATTTAGTGTCAAAAGTGTCCAACATGTCCCAGATGAATGGTGAGCTTAATGTAAAACATGGTAAATTCATCTGATTGGTGAGGAGACTACATTAGGCTTTCAGAAAAGAACACATAAACTGCCACGATGAAATGATGCTTTACCAAAACATTCCAAGTGGCTTTTTAAGTCCAATAAATTTTACAATCTATACAACTCTCCTTTTAAAGATAAACAATTATGAATAGCTGAAGGATGGCCTCTGAAGGAAGGTCAGATCTGATGAGGCTACAACACACCTGCATCTTTCAGAGTTACTACTCCCAGCTGATGTTGGCATTTCTCTCAGATGCGATGATATCTCACTAATTCTAGCAGCCGAGCCTCGTCTCTACAGCCGGTTTAAGGCCAAAAAACAGATAAAGAAGGAAATTTATGAGTATTGTTTCTAACTTCCGTCCTGCGTTGCCATCTGCAGAATTAGGTCATCATTCTTATCCCAGCTAATAATAGATATCTATAAAAAACCAAACACATTTATTTCTGCCAGTTAGCTCAAAAAATGGGAAATCGGATGGACTGGATTGGACCCTAACTTTGCATGTTTTTGAGCTAAACCGTGTCATGCAGACCTGAGGCAGACGGGAACAATGTGGACTCTTGTTAAACCGATTAAAATTAAAGTTAGCACAATTAATCTTAAGAGCAACAATTACAGTAGAAACTTCTAGATGAGGGTTTACATTGAATGTCACGTAGATAAATGGAAAACGAAGCTACGCCTTTGGGTCCGTCTTGGTTGAGTCATTTAGGTAAATGCTGACCAAACACAGTGCAGTAAACAGCTTATTTTCCAACACCACGATATAAACTGTAATCTGAGATGATGGACAATTTAATCCGGTCATCTAAGATATTTCTATATGTCACACAGAATTGGGTCATGCCATTCATTGATTGGCTGGGTAACAGATGACGTATGATTCCCAGTACATGGCTGCAGATCTCTGGCGTGTTTCTTGTTCGAGCTTTTGCTGTTAGAAGTAAACTCCATCCATCGCCTTGCCACTGAGGGATCGATGCAGTAGGATTGAGTAGAATTTAAATCAATCCTAGGCTTTTGACCTTACCAGAGAGTTAATCACATCTTCCTCACATCAGAGCCCAGGCTTACTGGCTTGTTGTTTTTTCCGCGTGTGTGTTTCCTCCTCTAACGAGCATCTGATCAGCTGTCATGGTGGCTTACTGTGAAACACTACACTCCTGCCACATTTTAGGAACACCACTTTTGAGTGCGGTAAATCAGCATGTCGCCTTTGATGTGACTACCCTCAAAGGTAGAGTTTACTGCCTACGTGACCTCATGTGAGCGTAAGATGGATAGACTAACACCAGACTGCGGTTGTGTGTGTGTGTTAAGTAACTTTGGGGATTTGGCGCAGTCTGAAAGACTAAAAAGCTTTCCAGCTGCAATAATAACAACAAATAAGCCCTGAACTCTCCTCTTTCACCCTGTTTAGAATAACAGACGCAGATAAAAATAGTCTGATTTCTTCACGTCATGCTTTTCCTGGCCAAAACTTCAAACTAAGGCAGGATGACGGAGAATCGACACCAAGTTAGGGCATTAAAGAGATTGAGAGAAAGTTCAAACGTTACTGTAGAAGCAGGAATCAATAGTAAATATTTATTAAATATAGTGTCTCTACTGCATGATCACGTCCATTGGTGCGTTTTCCCTTTTTGTTATCTAAAAACTCTTAAACAAGATCACAAATCTGAAAAACGATTAAAGGCTCAATAATCCTTTGAGGAATCCATACTGCCTACCATGGACGTAATTTTCACTTTAGAAGTGGAGGGGACCGGGGGTGGGGGTGGGGGTGGGGGAGGGGGGGGTATCTTTACAGTATGCTCTAATGGGAAACGGGCTTCAACACAAATGGTTGTTTTCTGCTTGGTCCTAGAGCTCAACCAGTGTCAATTTAATATAGTGTAACATTGTCTTTGGATGGTAAAAAGTGCAGGGGTCAAAACTTGACTTTGGAAAAAGTGTGTGTGTGTGGGGGGGGGGGGGGGGGGGGGGACATGTCCCCCCTGTCCCCCCCCCCAAAATTACGTCCATGCTGCCTACTGATTTTACTGGCATAATTTGACTTAAAGTTAAAGTCCCGTTAGTCGTCACACACTGGTGAAATTATTTCCTCCATATTTGACCCATCCCTTCGGGAAGTGTTGAGCTGCCGGGACAGCTGCTTTGGTGGTTTAACCCCCCAGTCGAACCCCTTAAAGCTGAGTGTCAAGCACGAAGGCATTGAGTCTCATTGTTAAAGTTTTTGGTTTGACCAGACTGGATCGGAACCCCGCTCTCCCAGTCTCAGGATGGACACTACCACTAGGCCACCGAGCTGGTATTAGATCATCTTATGTTCATGATAAATTATGCCCATTTTAGCTGCATAGCTAATCAGTACACTCAGAGTAAACAGTACCTTCTTATTTGTAAACCTGACTGAGTTGAAG